AGGAGGGGGATAGTGTTACGGATCTGATTAGTTAGAGTCCTTATATAATCTTAGAGCGACGCTAAGACTAGTAGGCTAAGCTATCGCTCTATCTTACTAGGAGCGATAGGAGCGGTCGAGAGCGATAGCGTCGCTTACGTCGCTTACGACTATAGACAAGACATCTCCTTTGTATTTAGGAACGCCGGAATGCCCTTATAGCTCGAGGCGTTCAACTTATGTTACCTACTTACTAATTGGAATTACCTTTGTACTAATTATTCTGTCTCTGCCTCCCGCTTATATTAGCCTCTCTAAAGAAGCCTCGGCTTGTACGTAATAAGAAGTCACTTAACGATCTATCGCGAGTAACCGTAACACCTAGCTAGCTATTAAGCAATTATCGTACGCCTAGCCTAGCCTAGCTAGCTATTAAGGCACGCACTCTAGTCTACCGCTACTACTTCAATCTAGAGCTACTATAGGACAACGACGATATTACAGGCGTTATTTTAGTGCTTAGACAAGAATAGTCCTTCCTTAATATATTAAATATTATACTCTATACTCTATACTCTATACTCTATACTCTATACTCTATACTCTATACTCTATTCCTTTAAAAGTCACTAATACCCTTACTACTAAGGCTACCTATACGTGCGAGGAGACCTGTATTAGCTCCTTCTACTGCGCTAGTGCCTATGCTAGTTAGGTCCTAGGTTTCTATACCCTCGAATAGCTAAGTAGTACTATCTGCAAGCTAAACCTATATATTATCTCGCTCTAGATCAAGTACTACATCCTTAATTGGACCGTAATTAACACTATCTAGGCGCTCTGTAGCATTAGGACCCTCTAAGGCATTAGATTCTAGCACCGTAGTACGGCCTCGAATAAAGTTCTAGTTAGTAGCGTTAAAGTTCTCGACGACTAATAGTATCTAATCTACACCGATATTCTAGATATCGTCCGAGAGCGTAAAATCTCCGTGCTACTACTTCGCGAACCTATCGATACGGATCTTATTAGCTCGATTGAATACGCCCGCGCTAATGTCCTTATTAGTATAGTAACTAGTCCGATAGACACTAGAATTCTCTCTAAATATATCGCGGATAAGTCGAGATAACTCTCGGTTTATCGATACTCGTTTAAAGGCAGTAGCAAGTCTATAAGTCGAATTAGCAAGGCGATTGTAGTCCTCGGATAGGGCATAGTTAATAAGCTTAATTATCTTATTACTACCGACAGCATAGCCCTTCTTTCTAGACTAATTAATAGTTGCAGTAGCAAGGACCGCCTTCTATAGGTCCTTAGTACCGCCCTTATTAAGGAGGAAATGGAAATAGGTTATTAGACGACTATAGTTGCTCTATCTAGCTCTAAGGAATATAGGGATCGTATAGTCTACGCATCGACGAAGGTAACCGACATCCTATATACGGATAGTATAGCGGACGCGTAGAAACAAAGAGATCTCCTTTATTAGTCTATATATAGAGGTAAAGGCCCTATCTAGCCTAGCTAGTGCAGCGCTATTGTCGGTAGAGGCAGGTCGATTAGGCATTCCCTCCTATACTTCTAGTAATAGGAGTAGCTTATACATCTCCTTTAGGATATCTATATACTTAGTAGCGGACATCTTCTCGACAATAGCCTACTTAACGACCTTAGGCCGGGTCTAGTTACCTTCGCTAATAAGATCCTTAGAGATATAGCTACGGTTAACTATAATCTAAAGGAATACGGCGATAGTGCGGGCCTTAAAGCAACGCTTTAGTAGTCTCTATATACGGAAGAATTTTAGTGACTTTAGATTAACCTCTTTTATACCCTAGAAATCGACATCCGATAATAGAGAGAAGTCTATACGATCGCCGGCCTTATTCTTATTCTAATAGGTACGGAATAGTGTAAAGCATAGGTTTATAAAGATATAGAACTAAGCAGGCACTAGAAGGACATACTGCTTCCTATCGTATATAGCCTTGTTCTCGACACTACTAAAGATTATAGCTAATATGCGCTCGATAGTTAGCTAATTACTAACGTTAATAATTAATCTATTATCGAAAATCGGATCCTCTAGCTTTAGACCTAGATTGCCTTAGTAGATGTCGTCGTATACTAAGGCAGTGCCCTTATTCGAGATCTTATTATTCTACGATAGAGGCATAGCTAGTAGCTAAGTCTTGCTACGGAAGCTATAGTTAATCTCCGGATATACTAGTTCTTCGACTAAATTGCCGGTATCCTTCGCTACCTTAAAGATGCCCTTAATCGCGTTACTAAATATATATACACAAGCTTCGTAGAGCTAATATATTTCGACTACTACGATAGCATCGTCGCTATCGATATTCTAAATAATGTTCTCGGTAAGTACTAGCTTCGAGCGGTCTAGTATGTCCTACGTTAACCCCCCCTCTAGTATATCTTCGTAGAGGGCGATATATAAGTTAGTAATATTAACCTGTTTATTATTGTCGGCAATGCCTTAGTCCTTCCGCTTTGCCTAGCGATTAAAGTTGTCGTAGCAGATCTACTAGATATACAACTTAGCCTATTCTAAGATCTTTAGCCGCTAAGTGTTAGCATTCTTCTTAATTAAGGCTTATATAGTCTTATACGTAGGAAGCAGACCTATACTATAGAGGGTGTCGATAAGAGGTGCCGGAAGATTGCTAATATATACTAATAGAAGGCTAAGCGACTTTAGCATCTAGGAGGCCCGCTTTAGTGCTATTAAATATACTACTATATACGTAATCGTATAGATACGCTTCTACATTATGTTCCGCTTGTCCTCGAACGATACTACTCGCTATATAGTATCCTTACGGGTATTTAGCAGTATAAAATCCTCGAGAAGGCGGTACTAATTTAGGGCGATATTATAGATTATATCGTATATCTTAGATAGGCGACGTAGTGCGGCAAGACTGTCTTCTAGCTTGTAGGCATTAAAGAACTTCTTGCTAATTAAGTTCTTAACCTTAGCACGTAACTAAATAGTACTAATAAGGTGCTTATTCGGCAACATATCTTAAATAGCCTATATACGCTTACGGTAGGTCTTTGTACCTGCCTTACCGAACTATATAAACATTATCTTCTCTATTAGCAATCTAAGCTGCGCGAGTTGCTATATAGTAATAGTATACTTCTGCTTTAGCGTGCGACGTAGACTACGAAGGCTAGCAGAATCGAGTACGCCCTCTTCCTTATCGTTTATCTTATCGAGGCCGCGCTTACTAGGCTACTATCTAGGCTAATCGTTATCGTCGTCGTTAGAGGCATTACTAGTACGACTCTCGATCTCTAACTCGCCCTCGCTCTACGAGTCTTTATCTATATTAGTATCCTCGTCTTTAGTTAGACTATTATTAACTAGCTAAGCGTATGTAATGTTAAGATTAGCATTTCTTAGGCAGCGAGCAGACCGCTTAGGCTAATAGATAGGTTAGCGGACAGGCTAGCGTCGAGCAGCTAAGCGATCTTTATCGCCTAGTATATACTTAGAGTTGTAATAGTCGCTATAATACTAGCGCTAGCGGCGGCGATCTTAATCGACTATATAGATTAGTAAGTCGGACGTCTGTTCTAGTAGATCTAGATCCTCTAGTATAGCTATGTCCTCGTTTTTGTCTTTCTATATTCTCGTTTTTAAGTATAACTATATCCTCGTTTTTATCTTTATTATATTCTAGTCGAGTCGGCAAGGCGGTATTGTCTTCGCTACGCCGATCGAGTTTAGATATAGCTAGAACATTAGAGAGATAAGAAGAAGAAGTATACTAAGCGCCTCTGCCCTAAGCGCCTCTACCTAGACGACGATCGAGCTCCGAAGTATCGGATTAATTAGTTAAGTTAGAGTCGCTTGTGTTAGCGATACTATATAGGTCGTATAGGTCGTATAGGTCGTATAGGTGTTAGTTAGTAGTAGTTAGTAGTAGTTAGTATTATTTAGTATTTAGAGTACCGACTCGAATTGCTAGCTTAAGTCGCGTCTACTACTTAGCTATATCTTAGTAACGATAGTCCGTAGAGATATACCGGTTATAGTAAAGTTATTCGGAAATACTAGGTATACGAGCTCGTATAGGTCTTAAGTAGGTTAGTAATAATCTATTTTAAACCTTCTAAGTCGCTAGTAACTAGCGTCGGCAAAGTAACGAGAACTTAGTACTACTATACTAGGCGTAGTTATATCTAGTAAGGAAGTCGATTAGAAGTACCTTCCGAAGGGCCTCGAGTTAGTTTAGTTAAAAATAAAGGAAGGTATTACTACCGCTATTTCCGATATAGACGAGAACTCGATAGCGAGAAGTCGCGCGTAGGTATATATAGCGAAGAAGTTAGTCGAATAGCCCTAATTAAGGACCTCTAGGTGTTAACTTAGTATATAGCGATATGTTAAGAATTAGTATATTTAGATAGGCGGAAAGCTATAGAAGTAGGCTTAGCTAAATTAGTATAACTTAGCGCGTATACGTCGTATATACGAGATTTTTAGATTGTTAGACTTATAATTAGTAGGGCTACAACCTCCTTGTATTAGATTTGCTAGTTGTCGTTAGTATAGCGAGATCGTATTTTAATAGCAGAATCTACGATAAAAATTAGCGGTTTAGCTTTAGGCCTTTAGGCAAAGGATTAGGTAGAGTAGTGTGTGATTGGTTGTTCGGAAAGACGGAAGCTAGCCCTAATTTATTTAAATCTATCACGTGCAATCTGACCAATTCACCACCGCGGAACGTAATCCTTAATGCACAAAGGCCTGAACGGAGGTAGTAATGCCAGAGCTCTTCTACAACTTCTTTTACCTGTATCATCACGATCCTGGACAGGATAATCGAGACTGACAGCGAACATGTCCGGCAAAGATTTTCCAGACAAGGCAAAGGCCAAAGCTGAAGAGGGCAAGGACAGCTTGGTGAAGCAGCTGGCCGAAGATGGAGTGTAAGCGACCAGCTGAAGCGATTCTAAAAACATACTTGCTAACACCGCGCAGTGAGAATCCAGCAGGTCTCTCCATGTTTGCTTTCGGCGGTCTCTTCCTCGCTGCCATTCCACTCACGTCCTGGATCGCTCAACCCAATGGCCTTGTCGAGAAGGCCGTGAATGGAGTCGTGAGCAGTGTGGCTTTCCTGGGCTCTGCAGGCTCGACAGGTTCAGTCGCGCAGACTGGCAAGATCGCGGCTCTCGCAGCTCTTTATACCACAGTCACATATGCCTTGTCCGGAGCAGGCAGCGCAGCTGGTGTCGCTGCAAGCGCCAAGGAGGGCAGAGACAACAACCACCCACGTGCGCAAGTCAAGAACCTGAGGGGTCTACCGCTACGTCTCCACTCCGCGCATTATCATTTGATGGAAATGTTTCCAGGCTGGGCTATCTCAGCTGCCTTAACTCAGGCCGTTGCTCCAGGTGATCAAGCTTTGATCAATCTGCTTGGTCTCCATGTGATTTCCAAGTGCTTTGTGTAAGCCAACCCTAAGACTACTGCTTCCAGTCTGTTGCTAATGCATGCAAAGTCACTATCCAGCTTACGTCTTCAACATCGGCGCCCCCCGGACACTCGCCCATGTCGTTGCAACATCCAGCGTTATCAACGTGGCCTTGATGCTCGCCAAGCGCCCATTGCTTGGTTAGGCAGCATGAAGCAAACCCACGTTACAAGGACAAGAGGCTCCACAGTGCCGAAAAAAAGACTATATGGCGTCGAATAATTGATCGCGATTGGAAACGAAGGACGCACAAATGATACCAGAAGCATGCGAACATGTCCCAACTTGATATTTTTTGTCCATGCATATGTACAAAAATCTTGCCAATACTTCAATGGCATTTTCCACTTCAAACCCTCTTTTCCCATCCAGAGCCCTAGTTGCCGGACCACCAAACATAATCATTCGTCTCTTCAGGCGTATCATAAACCAAAGCCGAACTGCTATTAAGCGGTCGTAGCGGCCAAACATTCTTCGTCCCAACCCAAGCCTTCGTCTCCCCAAACGTCGCCTGAGCACCCTCACCAATATACACACCGAAACCAGTACTGCAAGACTTAGCCGGATAGATTCGCGCGCTCAGGCAGAAACGCTCATTGATATAGATCTCCGCGATGGATCCATCGATGAAGACATTCATGTGAATGGCTTCCTGCGTGCCGTTGACGGTGTAAGGGTAGAAGTACCCGGTGATGGTAGCGTTATTGAAGCCCAAAATTTTGCTGCTGTGGAGACGCTCGACGAGGATGGTGTGGTTGGAGGGTTCGTAGATGATGTTGGTGTATTCCTCGCCGTCGGGGGATGCGGCGATTGTGATGCCGACGGCGCCGGTGGAGTTTGTGATTTCTGTGCTCAGCTCCATGTGCGAGGAGGCTTGTTTTTGGAGGATGGTGGATTTTGTGTATGTTGCTCCAGCATAGCTCTTGCGATGAGCGCCTTGACGGAGTCCTTCGACTACGTCGGGAAGAGGTCGAACACCGAGTGTGCGTGCGACGCAGTCTTCGGCAATGCTGTTCTTGGCTGAGGTGAGTTCGCTGGTGACTTGGACGTTCTCGACTTCGTGGACGAAAAGTTCTCTTGGGAGGGAAAGGGCGCCTTGGAAACCTTGTTGTGGAACGCTGAAGAGTCCGTCATTTGCGACGTAATCTTCCTTCAGCCATGCGTACTGAACACGCCGGTTATGCTTGGTGTCGTTGAAGCTGGAGAGAGCGTAGCCAACACCCCAGTCTACAGCGCCACCTGAGATAGGTGTGAACTCGGCACTTCCATTCTGGCGACGGCTGATCTTGCCTTCGTTCCAAAGAGCCCATTGAGCAGATTGGTGGAAGGAGACATTACCACCTTCAGAACCCATGTTGACGTACCAGTGGTCCTTGCCCTTGCTGTCCTTGAGTGAGAAGAAACCTGATACCTCAAAGTTAAAGCCATATGTACCAGTAGAGAGCACAGGGCCAACGGAGGTGTTCTTTACTGGCTCCCATAGGGCGCCAAGGAAGGTCCAGCTAGTGAGATCCTTTGCAGGAGCACTCCAGAGTGGCATTCTTGGGCCGACACCCTTGATACCAGATCCGAAGACAGCGTAGTAGTGTGGCTCAGACGCACCTAGTACGACATCGAGCGCTGGAATTGGCTCGAAGAAGGGGTCACGGAATCCAGTCACGTTCCAGTACATCGGCGATGTCCCGGTCGTGGTGCTGATGATGGGATTGTTCTCGTATTGTTGCCAGGTCTTGCCACCATCGTGGCTGATGGCAAGAGATTGGCTCTCAGTGTGTGGCTCGTAGTGGATCTTCCAGTTGGTTGGCAAGTAGCTCACTGATGTGTAGAAAGCGAGAAGCGTGCCATCCTGTTCGCCCTTGAGATTGACTGGCTGAGCAGTGCCAGAGAAAATTCCAAGACCATCGTAGGCCTGTGGAAAGCTGCCATTGCCGCTTGGGCCGAGAGTTCTAGCTTCATCGTTCTGCCACCCACCTCGATCGGTCCATGTTATGAGGTTCTTGCTCACAGCTGTACCCCAAGAAATGTTGCCCCAATTGAAGTGATTTGGGTGCCATTGGTACGAAAGATGATATTCATCCCTTATCGGATCATACATGGCTCCGCATGGATCGTTCATCCAGCCTGCTGGGGCGATGAAGTGACTTCGTGGTCTCCATCTGTTGAAAAGTGAGTTGTTTCCTCCAGCGCTGACTTGATCCGCAGATAATTCCGAGCATTGTCCTCCATTCTGGCCTGGTCTACCAGGTCCGTAGTGTGGAGGGCCATAGTGAGGCGCTTGATTTTGTCCTTGGTAGCCCCATTGAGCACTTCCAAAAGGAACAGCGGCAAGCAATGCTGCTGCGGAGGATATCGAACGCATGGTGAGTGATGGAACAGGGAGTGCTAGGAAATAATGGGATGTACTTCACCTTCGGGGATATTTGTACATGTGCACGGTGTCCGCCAATGCGGCTCCAAGACGATAGCAGGCATCATGGATGCCACGAGGTCCTCAATGCCACTAGCAGCAGACCAGAATTCCGAGAAGATCAGGTAACCTCTGCAGCACTAGCAAACCCCGGTACCCACCGCCCCAATCGCGGAGGACATGTCGGGCCGACTAGGGTTCGAATCTTTCGATCAGCCACAAGAGGCGAAGAAAGCTAACGTTAACGGTCTGGGCTTTCGTAGGCGATGATTGTAAATGGGATGGTCGCTTTCTTGGAGTCGTTCTTCTCGGAGCACTACCTTAGTGTCGGTCTTTGCAGGCGGAGAAACTCAATTCTTATGGCATAGCTTGGCAAATCTATTAAGCCACACAGAGTCGCAATGCAGTATGCTCCATCCAAGCATTCGGTCCTATGCTGCATCAGGTCCCGTGGGGTCCTGGAAGGACTCTGGAGATCCATACCGCCCGTCGGGAGGGAAGAGGCTTGAGAATGCAGAATCCATGTCAGTTCCGCCATTATTCAATGCATTTGATATGTCAGTGGTCGAGAGAAGGAATGTCTTGCCGACCAGCAGACATTAGCAACACCATCATGTGCACGCGAACTGTAAGCTCGGTCCAAGCAGTTGCACGAGCATCAGAGCCACCAAGTTCGTATCAAATCTGGTTTATACGGCTCGCGGGGATTGTATCACTTGCCAATACTCAATTCTTCGTCAAGTCGTTCATAGCCGTGTAGCATTTCGTCTCATAAATCAAAACTGACCATCTTCAGGAACAATGAATGCAGGCTGATGCTGCATCAAGCCCTATAATGACTTCTCATATGAATTCCCAGTCGCGGCTCCTCTTATGTGGCTTGTCCATTTACTTTACTCTGCCAGAGTCCGGCAATTGTTTGTTGCGTCCTACGCTGCTGCTCATCAATTTGCTCCTGCGTCTGGCCTTTGGCATGGCTTCGCGGATCAAAGGCTATCGCGGATGGCTGAGAAGCATCTGCCATGTCCACGTCCTCATCTTTAGGTTTGACGCGCTCTGGGTTCGTGGCTAATGCGCCGTCCATCATGGCCATGCCGCCTGCTCGCAATTGGTTGATGGCACGTACAGTGTCGATAGCTTTGTGTAATGTCCTTCTCGCGTTGAAATTTTTCTTGACTGTTGGCAACAGGTCCTCCTCGCCGCGACCACTTTCTGGCCCTGCTATCCATTCATGCGAAAGCGCTTCATGTGCTGTCATGCGCTTCGTGGGGTCGATTGTAAGACATCTCTTGATAAACTGCCGAGCAGTCAGGCTGACGCCGCGCCAGTATTCAAGAGGTGTAAAGCTATAGTCTGCAACCAAGATCGCCTGCATCTCTTCTAGATTGCTGTCGCGATCGAATGGAGTATATCCGCAAAGCAAGAAGTATGTAATGACACCAATGGCCCATACATCGACTGGCTTGCCATGACCACTCTTCTTAAAGATCTCAGGCGCCATGTATCCCGGGGTACCACAAGTCGTAGTCAAGACATGGAATTGCTCCTCGTCCATGATGCGAGAAAGACCAAAGTCTGCAATGAGCAAATCGGCGTTATCTTCTGGGGTTCTGAAAAGCAGGTTCTCGGGCTTCAAATCGCGATGTACAATTCCATGATCGTGAAGATATGCGACGGCGGACAAGGTGGCTCGAATAAGGTCTGCGGCGTCGGATTCATAGTAAGATCCTTTTCGGCATATGCGATCAAACAGTTCGCCGCCTAGAGCCAGATCTGTGACGAGATATACTGAACACCAGGTCAGCGCAGCTCGAACTTCTGCGAGTGTAGATTTCGCATACAATTATTCATCGTTTCAAAGTAGTCAACCAATGTCAGGATGTTCTGGTGTCCCATTGAAACTCTCTTCAGGACGGCAATCTCATTTCGAACCATATGTTCCCGCCCAGCCATGAGTCGCTTGTTGATAACCTTGGCGGCATAGTAGCGACCAGTGTCAATATGCACACATTCTTTCACCACGCTGTACGAGCCAGCTCCTAGTGTTTTGCCAGTCTTGTACCGGCAAGGCTGGACTTGTGCTTGCGGCGCGGCCATGATGCACTAGAAGAGAGGAGCGGATCGGAAAGCAGCGTCGGGCTATGAGCGCACCAAGCTTGAGCAGGATGCGAATGGTAGTCTGTGGAATGACTTGAAGCGAAGGTGCCTGGTCAGCGCAGAGTCGGATAGTCTGTTGATTGTGTCAGGCTCGAGGGTCGAGCTGTTGGAGCGCGGCTGACAGGTGGGCCTGGCCTGGGCGTCTGAAGACCCCACAGTTCCCAACGCCTGGGCCAGCCGCCAGCTGCAAAACACATTCCAGCCTGCTCGTCCCACAAGATTTCAGGACGATTTCATTGATCAGTCTAGTGATCATTCGTATGGAAGGGACGATCTCAAGACGATGATGACCATGATTCTGTGAAAGTCCGGAGCAAAGTCCGGGAGATGAAATCCATGGGCCGATAGAGTCAGATCCTTCTGGAAGAGGCTCCGTTATTGCCGCGAGACGGTAGATCAATGCAAGGCTCAAGTCCTTCTTTGAAGATGAAGAAATGCTTGGGCATGGCAGCGAATCACTCGGACTTGACAGAGCTGATCAAGCCGCTCTCCAGCAGCATGACATCCTTCTTTTTTGCAGACTCTTGTTCGACGTGACGTTTGAACCCACAGCCCGTTCCAACAATCGAAGCAGCCATCCCTTGCATAACGCCACGTACCGAACACTGAGCTCTGGCAGTATAATCACTACTGAGCAGGGCGTAGCGCTCGTTATGCCCGAATGAACATGAAGGAATATGCAATGCTCTGCTGTAGTCAAATGGATGGGTTCAGACCTGGGAAAAGCCGAGGGCATTCCTCTGACCAAAATCGGCATCTTGGTCATATCTGAACCCACTCCGTACATATAGACTAGTTAGAAGCGTTTCTTTGCCCTCCCTTGCAATGTGCCTCCTTATACGTTGCGATCCACGTTGATCATCACCAATGAGGAGTCGTAAGACCCGTATAGGTGTATTGTTAGTAGAAATCAAAATGCTAGGTACCTAAGGCCCAAATCTTAGCATTACAGCACCAACACTGCGTAAGGCCAATGTATATAGTTTAGCTTGATATCGAGAAGAATACGTAGTTATAATACACGACCGGCGGTTCGTAAACGGTAAATCCTTTAGCTTGCGTAGCAATTAAACAGCACATTTTCTAATAAGACTAGACCTAGTACTAAATAACCGCACGTGCGGCTGCTTATCTTAGAGTTATCTAAGACTAGACCTAGCACTGAATTACCGCACGTGCGGCTGCTTATCTTAGAGTTATCTAAGACTAGACCTAGCACTAAATTACCGCACGTACGGCTGCTTATCTTAGAGTTATCTAAGACTAGACCTATTTAAAATGTGCTCCTAGGCGGCTAGCGCGTGCCTAGAGGAGTGCGAGCGAAGCTTTCGCCTTATATATACTAAGCTAATTCGGTTCTTTAGACCTCGAAGCTAGACCTCGAAGCTATTACTATTATTATACGATTTAGTTCTATTAGAATAGTTTATTAGGAATAAGTATTTTTAGATTTTTGTATTACTATTTTTCTTTTCTGGTATTTTAGATACTACTTTTTTATTTTTAACTTTATATATATTACTTACTTTTATTCAAGTTTTCTCTAATTTTTTATATCTATTACTACTTTTTATATTATTAAAAAAACTATTTTTAATTTTTTTCTTTAATGTTTTATAGTTTTTCTATTTAGTATCTTACTTGTTTTACTTACCTATTTTATATTTTCTTATTTATTTTTATTATATGTTTTCTTTTTTCTAATACGTCTAAGTCCTCTTATTTATATCCTTATTTATTACTTGTTTTCTATCTTACTACTTAGTTTAGTACTAGCTTATTATTTAGTCTATTAATTAGCTTATTATTTAGTTTATTATTTACTTTGTTCTCTAGTTTTTTATTTAATCTATTATTTGCTTTATTATTTAGTTTCTTCTCTAGTTTATTATTTACCTTCTTTTTAACTTTATTATAAGTTATTTATTTACTAGAATATAATTTATTTTATTAATTGTTTAACTAATTGTTTAACTAATTGCTTTACTAATTGTTTAATTAATTATTTAATTAATTGCCTTACTAATTGTTCTACTATTGTTTTATTCATTGTTTTATTAATTGTTTTGTTAATTGTTTTGTTAATTGTTTTGTTAATTGTTTTGTTAATTGTTTTGTTAATTGTTTTGTTAATTGTTTTGTTAATTGTTTTATTTATCGTTTTATTAATTGGTTTATTAATTGTTTTGTTAATTGTTTTGTTAATTGTTTTATTAATTGTTTTGTTAATTGTTCTATTAATTGTTTTATTAGTTGTTTTGTTAGTTGTTTTATTAGTTGTACTTGTTTTATTAGTTGTTTTGTTTGTTGTTTTGTTAATTGTTTTACTAACCAGGATAGTACCCGTACGTAAGTACTTCTGCTCCTTCTACTTACGTAGTAATAGCGGTAGCGCCCGCGAGTTTTTAAATTTTATATATACCTAGTATAGCGGAGCCGCGAATTTTAGGGTTCCTCGCTCTTATTCTCGCTTTCGTTCCTTTAATATTTTTCGGTAATTTTATAAATTTAAATCGTATGTTTTCTATAATTAAAATTAATTTTTCTATAGGTTCTTTTATTAAAAGTTGTTTTATAAATTCTTTTATTAATGTTTTAGTTAATTTTCTTATTAATTTTCTTATTAATTGTTTGTATATTTTATTATATATTTTACTATATATTTGAAGTATTAGAAGGAAGGCAAAAGGCTTTACTAGCGGTTGTTCGGGAAGTCGGCGGTTGTTCGGGAATTCGGCGCTTGTTCGGGAAGTCGGCGCTTGTTCGGAGATACCGGCGCTAGCTCCGAAAGTCTCCACTTGTAGAAATTAACCAATCAGGTATACAGGATTCTGAAATCCGGGGTCGGCTTGGCGTCACGTGTGGCTGAGTGTACATTTGGCAACGTAGAGTAGTACCCTCCTTGCTATTATAAGGCGAGCTTCGCTCGCAAAAAATGTGCTATAGATCGCTACGTAAGCAATCTAAGAATCACGAAGCGGCCGCTTATAGGTTATAACTACGTGTTAATCTCGTAGTATAAGGCTAAACTGCATTCGGATACTATATACTATCTATACTAAAGGTCGGCTTTATAGTCTCGGCCGTAGTCCTTTAACATTGCTTGCGTATATCCGGACTTTTAGCGGCCTGTAAGACCGCTTGCCTTAATATTACTTATTATACTATAGCCTTATTAATCTCGTAATCTTTCTTATATTAATATATCGTATTAGAGCCTCCGGCGGCTCTCCGAGGGCTACTACGTAGAGCTTAGCGCCCTTCGGGCGAAGTAGCGCTATTTAAAGTGTTTATTGCTAGCGGCAGTTGTTTAGAGCGTACGTACGAGCGACCCCTAGTAGTATATACGGATTGTTAATCTCCTATTATCGTAGTCGGGCTTTACGACGCTTATTCCGCTCGCGAATAATACGCGTATTATTGTCTTCTTCTTTTTCTTCCTCTAGCTAAGGCTGCTATATAGACTCTTAAAGAGCTATTATAAGAGTCCGATTATTCTCTTCGCATTTAAGTCGCTCTCGCTCTATATACCGAGCCTCCTTATCCTAGAACTACTATAGCTTAAGCTATAGCTTAGACTATGCAATAGCTACTACTATATCGTCGTCGTTATTATAAATGCTAAAGTCCTGCTCTTCTTTACCCTACGTCTACGAAACAATAGTTAAGCGACCTAGAGTAGGAGGTCGAATAGAGCCTCGAGTATTAGAAGTAGGGACCTTATAGTCTATGCTTCTAAGGTGCTACGTCTAACGACGCTCGTAGTCTACTAATTGTATCTTCTACATTTTAGTTTAACGGGTACTAAAGCGGTTATAATTAAAGAGTGTCTTAATTATAAGATAGTCCGAATGCTTAATACGAGAGTATATAATATAAGTTAAGCCTATAGTAAAGTCCTTCTTAGCGAGATCTAGGACAATACGGTCTAGAGTAAGACCCTAAGCTTTATAGATAGTAATCGTATAGGCAATAGTAACTAGAAACATCTCCCGCGTATAGGTATAAGCACTACGCTTAAAGCCGCGGTAAGATAAGAAGATTAGTACGATCTTCCGCTGTCTTCCTCTAGCGACTAAAAGACTAGAAGTAGGATTGTATGCCGACTTAGCTTCCGTATATAATAGCCTACTGCCTATTAGACGATAGTCGTACTTGTCGAAAGCAATAAGTAGGTAGAGAGGAAGATCCGTAGCTAGGTCTATATTAGGAGACTAGATAACGTCGATAAGCGTGCTAATCGTACTATTATTAAGACTACGCTCGGTCTAGATGTTCTCTATTAGCATTAGGCGACAACTAAAGGAAATAGGCAGTATAGCGTACAGATTGCTACCTTCTTCGAAGGTAGCCTTCTTAGCTCCCTTTCTAGTATAGGTAGCTTTTAATAGCTTAACTACTTTACTAGTCTCTCGTATACGGATATAATTATAGAGGTTAATAGGCTTCTTCTTTAAAAAGATGCGCAAGGCATCTATAAACTTAGCCTACTTAGCTAAATTAAGTTAGTTGCGTACGCGAGTAAGAAGGAACCGCTAATCGTCCTTACTAATATAGTTATTACGTATATTCTTAAGCGCGAGCTTAAATGCTAGTAACTTGCGGTCGGTCCTATCCTAGCGCTAAATAGTCTTTAACTTAATCGTATACTTCAACTCTAGGTATATAGCGCGACTATATCGTTCTTCGTTATTATCGACTTTGCTACTAAAGAGCGGCTTGCCGCCGACAGGAAGCAGCTAGTAGAAGTCTCTAAACACGATAATACTAAAGCCTCCGTACTACTCGTCCTTCTTTGCTAAGATCTAACGTAGGCGGCGGTCTAAGTAACCTAGTATCTTAAGATTAACTATAGACTTCTCGTTAATAATAATATACTTAATACGACGGAAGACATACTATAGCTATACTAGCTTCTTCGTCGTTAAATTAGTAAACCT